TCAATTGGGTTAAGATCAGGTGATTGACTCGGCCATTGAGGAATATTCCACTTTTTTCCTTCAAAAGCTCCTGGGTTGCTTTTGCAGTGTGTTTTGGATCATTGTCCTTCTTTACTGCGAAGCGCTGTCCAATCAACCTTGCTGCATTTGGCTGAATCTGGGCTGACAGTATATCTCCAAACACTGCAGAATTTATCTGGCTGTTTCTGTCACACCATCAATAAACACCAATGACTCAGTGCCACTGGAAGACATGCATGCCCATGCCCATCACACTGCCTCCACAATGTTTTACAGATGAGGTTGTGTGCTTTGGATCATGAGCGGTTTCAAGCCTTCTCCACACTTTTTTCTTACTGTCATTCTGCTACAGATTAATCTTAGTTTCATCTGTCCAAAGAATGCTTTTCCAGAACTGGTCTGGCTTTTTTTAGACGTTTTTTGGCAAAGTCTAATCTGGCTTTTCTATTCTTCAGGCTTGTGAATGGTTTGCAACTTGTGGTGAACCCTCTGTATTTGCTCTTGTGAAGTCTTCTCTTGATTGTAGACTTTATCAATGGTATGCCCACCTCCTTGTGAGTGTCCTTCACTTGTCTGGATGTTGTGAATGGGTTTGTCTTTACCATAGAGAGGATCCTGAGATCATCCACCACTGTTGTCTTCCTTGGATGTCCATGGCTTTTTATGTTGCTGAGCTTACCAGTGCGTTCCTTCCTCAGCATGTACCAAACTGTTGATTTGGCCACTCCTAATGTTGCTGCTATCTCTCTGATCGATTTGTTTAGTTTTTGAAGCCTTACAAGAGCCTGTTTCACTTGCATGGACAGCTCCTTTGAACGCATTTAATATCGGTTCACAGCAATAGATTCCAAATGCAAATACCACACTTAGAATCAACTCCAGACCTTTTACCTGCTTAACTGATGAAGAAATAACGAAGGAGTAACCCACACCTGGTCATGAAACTGCTTTTGAATCAATTGTCCAATTACTTTTGGTCCCTTGAAAAAGGGGGGGTGGCTACTCTTAAGGGCTGTAATTCCTAAACCCTTCCTCTAATTTGGATGTACATACCCTCAGATTAAATCTGAGAGTGTGCACTTTTACCCCATATCCATTATATAACTATAGCTTGAATATCTTTTGGTAAATACCTGAAAAAAACTAAAATTGTGCCTGTGTTCAAATATATATGGACCTAACTGTATATACTAAAAACTATACAAAATAATCAGAGGCACTTTAAATGATGGCATATGTGTACTGACTCCTATTTAACATGATTTTGAATGTGATTGCTTAATTATGAACACAGCTACATCCCCAGGTATAAGAGGGTGAGCACACTTATGCAACCATATTATTTTAGTTTTTTATGTTACTTCCCTCCACCTAAAAGACTTCAGTTCGTTATTCAACAGAGTTGTACAGTTTATAGGTTACATTAAAGGTGGAAAAAGTTCTGAAATGATTTATCTATGTCTCATTTTTTTTACATCACAGAAACCTGACATTTTAACAGGGATGTGTGGACTTTTTATATCCACTGTATGAGACATTGAATAATAATTATTGTATTATTATTAGACGCAGTACGTGCATTCCACGGTGATACTGGAAGAGTGGCAGCCATCTTAACTCTGCGCTCTAAACTCCCCCTGCAGTTGCTGGTCAGTACAGCAAAAGGAGAGACAGTGAAAGGGGCCCTGCCAGGAATGATTCATGATGAACCTTTCTTCATACACATTCTTGTAAGTGTTTTTAACAGCATCTTTTAATAAATTGCTGGAAATTGCTGCACTTAGAAGCATCTTCTTGCCTTCCTCTTGTTAAAGTCTGCTTCTACTCTCAGAAGTACTGCCTCAGTGCTCTTCCCAGCCATTATTTGTACAGTGAATGTTATTCTCAGGACATGAAGGTCCAATCACGCAGATGTGCCCTATGAACTTTCTCCCGTTTAAGTTTCCTGCATGGGAGCTCGGCTGGACAGCATTTAAGCCAGAGAATCATATGCACATGAATAGAGAGAGGACTCATCCTGGACATTTTGAAAAGTTATCTGCCAAGTCATTCACACAGTAGCATATGGCTGTAGCTAAAAGGCATCCATTAAGATGAAACTAGGATTTTGGGCCATTGCCCTATTCCAGAAAGCAATGGTCTGACAGACTGCCATAGATGCAACCACAGGGTGCATGGCATGGCATGCCAAAGAAAATAGCTTTAAAGAAAGCCTCTAACATTTTGTCTATTGGATCTCTGAACACAGATTATCCTTTTGGGGAGCTATGAGAGTCTTGTTAAAATAACAAATGGCAAGATCTACGCCAGGAAAAACCTATTTACGAAGGAAACTTTCATGTGTAGAATACGGTTGGGCAAACTGTTTTAGAGGAGTAAAAATCTTCTTCAAGTAAAGCCAGTCCCCATACAGGAGGATTTTTACCAGCAAGTGGATCAGGAAAGTCTTGGTTGAGTGTGTACAGTGTCAGTAATGATGGATATAGCATCCTTTAACTTTGATGAAATCTCTATAAAAGGTGTGTTAACCTGATCTCATCCCTCAGAGGTTAAGGGATCCTCTTTCAGGCTCCATGTCTGGTTAAAGGGTGAAATTCAAGACCAATTCAGGAGAAATGTTTGAAGGGGCATGGCTATGACCCCTGCAATGAATAGCTTCGAGGCCAGAAATTCTTCTCTCGATAGAAAAGAGGAAGTTGGTGTGGCTGATGGACGTGTCATCAACCATCAGAGGAAAAGGTACTAAGGCCTTAAATGGATAAACTATCACCCTTAAGGTAGCCAAAAGCTGAGGAGGCTAGTCCGTTCATCCAACCCTTTTTCCCTGTGCTTATGATCAGCCATGCCTGGGAAATTGTCCTTAGCTTTGGTGTTATTTTGCCATGAAAGCGCTTTTAAGTGTTAAATCACCTAAATTGAATATGAAAATCAATTCATCCTGTCAGGGTCACTGATAAATAAATAATATGCTTGAATTCCAACATTTCATAAATACATGAATAAAAAAAACAAACAAATGGATAAATATACACATTCATAAATATAAGTCTCTTAGATTGTAGGCTCTAATGAGCAGGGCCCTCTGTTTCCTCTTGTACCAAATTGTATTGTAACTGTAATGTCTACCTTCGTTTTCTAAAGTGCTGCGCAAACTTTTGGTGCTATATAAATCTGGTATAATAAGTGTAAAATTCTCAACAATCCATAAGTACATTAACAGACCTTCCACCAATACATAAAAAATTTAAAAGTTCAAACAATTCATGAAGTGTGTTTGTGATTGAAACTTCCACCGAATCCACAAAGGTAGCCATGCAGATAATGTTTTAATTGTATCACAACATGTCTTTATGAATTGTTGGAATTGTCCATGTCTTTATAAATTTTTTAGAATTTGTGCACATTATTTGTCAGTTAAACTGATGGGATGAATTGATTAGCTTTTCATATATTCGTTGTTGGTGTTACACTGATTAGACACTTGTTTTGGAAGGTTTGGTAAATTGGCCTTTTGTTGGTAGCTGCCTACTTGTTCCCTATCGCTGACTTTTTCTCTTTGAGTGCTAAATCTCCTAAAACTACCATCTAAATCTCAATTGCCACTCAAAAAGCTAGCAATTACAGACCGTAAATTTTTAAAAATAAAAATTAGCAAAGGAGACCTAAGGCATTTATGTAAAACTATTCTCTTTGTTAGTTAACTCTTCTAAAGACGTAAAGACCTAAACAAGGGGAATTGAGTTAGCACAAAATAAAGTAATATTGGATGTTAAAAGAAGGGATGACAACGGTCATGCAAAGAGACTGACAAGCAAATATGTTTGTGCCACCACAGGCATGACAAGGAATTAAGTAACTGATTTTCCATGTACTAACACAGCAATCTGCAGACCATTCCTGAAGGAGAAAGGATAGCAGAATGTGACACATTCAAGAAATGCACTAATGTAAAGAAGGATATGGTTTCAAAAGGAGGTCCTGTTCAGATGTCTACCAGATAAAATTTGGAACTAATTTAATTGGAATGAGGGCAACTAATAAGCAGCTCCAACCTGAAAAGAATAAATATTCCCTCCACTTCATTACACTGACAGCATAGCTTGAATAGAAGACAGTATGTTAAACTTTTGCACCATGTTACCATGTTTTGGTTTTTTTTTCATTCAGACCTGCTCAACTATTACCTGCTAGCAGAATCCTGTGTGTATATTCCAGAGTGTTGTATTTTAATTTTTATGCAAACCCCTCAGCTGTTGCTATGTATAAATGTATAATGTATAATCTAGAAAAGCCAGTTTTGAGTAATTTTTTATAACAAGGAAATCTTTTTCCAGATCCTCAACTACAAAGTGCTCCATTTGCCTTACGTTAGAGCTTAGTCCCACCTACCAGCCTTATCGCTATCTATTTATTTATTTATCTAATGCCCCTAACTCACATTCATACACATACTAGGGCCAATTTAGATGGGAGTCAATTAACCTACCTGCATGTCTTTGGAGTGTGGGAGGAAATGGAAGTACCCGGAGAAAACCCATGCAGGCACAGGGAGAACATGCAACTCCAGGCAGATAGTGCAGTGCTTGGGATTCTAGGCGGGAGTGCTAACCACTTAGCTACTGTGCTGCCAAGAGAAAGCTCATATTTATCACTGAAACAGCTGAACTGGACATGGGACTGATTGATGGGCATGTCCTAGTCCAAAAATCAGGGCCCTAAATCTAAGAGCACTCTACAACTTTTGCTCTCAGAAAGAACTTATTTTTAAAAGTGTAAAATGGCTTACATTAGAAAATTGAGAGATAGCAAGGCATTTGCTTTACACGGTTTCAAAATCATTTTTAGAAGAAATCTTTGGTCCTAAGCAAAACATATTTGAGGATCCTTAAATAATAACGACTAATGCTGAAAGTTAGCAACTGGAAATGGGGGGGGGGGGGGGAATACCATAAAGAATTTTTTCATACTTTAGGTCCCACCTGTCTGTAGCGCAGAAGATGACTTGCAGTTCGAGAATTTAGCAGTGTGTTTAGGACATATCTGAGGGAGGCCTGTAACTCATTTGTCAGTGCTAGCCTCCATTCTGCAGGGTGATGATCAGTGCAGTTTACACAAGTGTAGGCCACACTTTCTGGCAAGTTTGAAAGGATTTCATACATCTCATCTGTGGAAAAACAATAAATTAACATTTACACAAGCGTTGTAGACTTAAACATTTCTAGAAAGCATAAATCTTAATTTTAGAAATACTATAAGAATAACAGTTCTAGTTAATACTAGTTACTAGTTATGCAGCTAGAATAGGGAGGTTATCTTCTTAAGTATACTTCTAGAAAAAGAAAGTAAACTGTATGATTCTGTGGTGCCAATAGAAAGAAGTAAATTCTGATCTGGTTACAATGCGTTTCCAAAAGTACTTTGCTGCAGCCCGGTGTGATTTGAACCCATTCAAAATGGACGGGTTCAAATTGTACTACATTGAACAGCATGTGAACTGCACAGAAACGTGAACATTCCTGTGTGATTCATAGGTGGTTCACAGTGTGAACATAGGCTTAATGTGGGTTGTTTTGTGTTTGGTACACAGGTAATGTGGTAATTGCGAGAATGTTTAAGTAATTTGACTTGCTTTGCAGTTTTGAAAGTCTTTTTCATTTTGCCTAAGCAGTTTCGATAATTCATCTGAGTCCTAGGAAACTCTTCAGCATTTAAAGCTATGAGTAGTGAAACCATCATAACCCAATCATGGTAATGTCATAAAGCTCAATAAAGTGACAATCAGTATAGCAGTCACCTGATTTACTGGAGACAAAAAGGCAGTATAAATGCCTAGTAGGAGATTATATCCATATCCCCAACGTAGGGCAAAGATGTTAGGATGGCATTATATATGGTCAATAATGATGTAGCCCAGCTCCCAACTCTGTTGGGGTAAAGATGTTATAGCGAGCAGCACAGTGGCTAAATGGTTAGCACTTCTGCCTGGCAGTACTAGGGTCGTTGGTTCAAATCTCAACTACGGCACCACCTGCCTGGAGTTTGCATGTTCTCCCTGTGCCTGCGTGGATTTTCTCCGGGTACTCCGGTTTCCTACCACACTCCAAAGACATGCTGGTAGGTTAATTGGCTCCTGTCTAAATTGTCCCTAGTATGTGTATGTATGAATGTGAGTTAGGGACCTTAGATTGTGCACTACTTGAGGGTTAGGGACTGATGTGAATGTACAATATATATGTGAAGTGCTGCGTAAATTGGCGGCGCTATATAAATACCTGATATATACAGTATAGCTGTAATATGCATAGTCAACAGGTAATAGTGCTGCTAAAACTCCACTTAAGTGTTGCTTCAAATTATGGCCTTCTTTATGTAGCTTTCAGACCAAAATATACACAGTATCTCACAGAAGTGAGTACACCCCTCACTTTTTTGTAAATATTTTATTATATCTTTTCATGTGACAACACTGAAGAAATGACACTTTGCTACAATGTAAAGTAGTGAGTGTACAGCTTGTATAACAGTGTAAATTTGCTGTCCCCTCAAATTAACTCAACACACAGCCATTAATGTCTAAACCATTGGCAACAAAAGTGAGTACACCCCCTAAGTGAAAATGTCCAAATTGGGTCCAGTGTCAATATTTTGTGTGGCCACAATTATTTTACAGGACTGCCTTAATTCTCTTGGGCATGGAGTTCACCAGAGCTTCACAGGTTGCCACTGGAGTCCTCTTCCACTCCTCCATGACGACATCACGGAGCTGGTGGATGTTAGAGACCTTGCATTCCTCCACCTTCCATTCGAGGATGCCCCACAGATGCTCAATAGGGTTTAGGTCTGGAGACATGCTTGGCCATTCCATCACCTTTACCCTCACTGCTTTAGCAAGGCAATGGTCGTCATGGAGGTGTGTTTAGGGTCGTTATGTTGGAATACTGCCCTGCGGCCCAGTCTCTGGAGAGAGGGGATCATGCTCTGCTTCAGTATGTCACAGTACATGTTGGCATTCATGGTTCCCTCAATGAACTGTATCTCCCCAGTGCCGGCAGCACTCATGCAGCCGCAGACCATGATACTCCCACCACCATGCTTGACTGTAGGCAAGGCACACTTGTCTTTGCACTCACCTGGTTGCTGCCACACATGCTTGACACCATCTGAACCAAATAAGTTTATCTTGGTCTCATCAGACCACAGGACATGGTTCCAGTAATCCATGTCCTTCGTCTGCTTGTCATCAGCAAACTGTTTGCAGGCTTTCTTGTGCATTATCTTTAGAAGAGGCTTCCTTCTGGGACGACAGCCATGCAGACCAATTTGATGTAGTGTGCGGTGTATGGTCTTAGCACTGACAGACTGACCCCCCACCCTTTCAACCTCTACAGCAATGCTGGCAGCACTTATACGTCTATTTCCCAAAGACAACCTCTGGATATGACGCTGAGCCCATGCACTCAACTTCCTTGATTGACCATGGCGAGGCCTATTCGGAGTCGAACATGTCCTGTTAAATAGCTGTATGGTCTTGGCAACTGTGCTGAAGCTCAGTTTCAGGGTCTTGGCAATCTTCTTATAGCCTAGGCCATTGGTCGGCAAGCCGCGGCTCGCGAGCCACATGCGGCTCTTTACACATTTTAATGCGGCTCTTCTGTGTGCCGGGCGCTCGCTCCCCTCCCCTCCCTCCTCTCCCTCCTCTCGGGCGGCCGCCCCCTCCCCTCCCTCCTCTCGGGTGGCCGAGGACTCTGCAGCTAGCCCAGCAATGATTGGCCAGTCTCGCTGCCACTCACATCCTGATAGCTAGTGATTGGCTGTCAGGATGTGTGTAGGCGGGGCAGCGTGACGAACGTGAGGGGAGCTAGGCTCCTCTCACAGTCCGCCCTGAAGACCGGAACGGCGCGGGGAGCACGGCGAGAGGAACGCGCGGAGCAAAGGTAAGTGAATTGACACAGGAGGGACTTGACTTACTACTTGCTACTTACTTACTACTACTATATGAGGGATGAATTAATATGGGGGATGAATTACTATATGGGGGATGAATTACTATGGGGGATGCATTACTATATGGGGGATGAATTACTATATGGGGGATGTATTACTATATGGGGGATGTATTACTATAGGGGATGAATTACTATATGGGGGATGAATTACTATGGGGGATGAATTACTATGGGGGATGAATTACTATATGGGGGATGAATTACTATATGGGGGATGAATTACTATGGGGGATGAATTACTATATGGGGGATGAATTACTATGGGGGATGAATTACTATATGGGGGATGAATTAATATTGGGGATGAATTACTATAGGGGGGATGAATTACTATATGGGGGATGAATTACTATGGGGGATGAATTACTATATGGGGGATGAATTACTATAAAAACTTATTGAAACTAAAAACAGTGTACCATCCTATGTATTTTCAGTTTTACAAATGTGGCTCTCAAAATAAATTTCAATCGTGGTTTTGGCGAGATTTGGCTCAGTTGAAAAAAAAAGGTTGCCCACCACTGGCCTAGGCCATCTTTATGTAGAGCAACAATTCTTTTTTTTTCAGTTCCTCAGAGATTTCTTTGCCATGAGGTGCCATGTTGAACTTCCAGTGACCAGTATAAGAGAGTGAGAGCGATAACAGCAAATTTAACACACCTGATCCCCATTCACACCTGAGACCTTGTAACACTAACTAGTCAATGACACCGGGGAGGGAACATGGTTAATTGGGCCCAATTTGGACATTTTCACTTAGGGGTGTACTCACCTTTATTGCCAGCGGTTTAGACATTAATGGCTGTGTGTTGAGTTATTTTGAGGGGACAGCAAATTTACACTGTTATACAAGCTGTATACTCACTGCTTTACATTGTAGCAAAGTGTCATTTCTTCAGTGTTGTCACATGAAAAGATATAATAAATTATTTACAAAAAAGTGAGGGGTGTACTCACTTCTGTGAGATACTGTACTTTATTGCCCCTTGTCCTGGCTGGTGGTACAGTGCCATTTTGAATGGCACACCTATGCTCCTCTAACATTACAGATATTCATTTATTCATGTCCCATTGCTCTAGTCATGCCAAAATTATAATTTTTTTAATATAATTATTGTTTAAAATGATAATTATTCCTTTAAAAGATTACAAACTAAAAAATATAGTTATTTATACAGAAAAGGATAGTTGTGTGACATATGCGAAAAAATACCTGTCAGATTTTCACATTTGGAATGTACCCAGCGATCGCACTTTCCACACTGCATCATTTTACTCTCATAATCATCATCATCATAGCACTTGTTACACAGAGGACAGAAGTTGCCTAAAGAATAACAAAGAATGTTGAAAACATTAAGTGGAAACTTGTATACTCATACACACAAACACACTAAATATTTGCTAATATTAAATATTTACAAGTGCATTAAAGTACTTTAAAAAAAATGGATTTCAAAGAGTAGTCTACAATTATGTATGTACATGGGGCACCTACTGTATATTTGTTCATTTTAGATGCAGGCTGTACGCTTCTTGGTAGTGCTGCATAATTGTGTACTGCTGATTCTTTGGTTAGTTTACCAGACAGGACTATCGTGGTTGAAAAAGAAAGACTCTTTAGGTTCTAAAAATAATTTTTTGATATGTGGGAATATTATTTTTGGGCTGGTCAACACTATATGCAATCCAGTGCAGTGCATTTTTTTTCCTGCATCAAAAATGCATGCATAGTATTTTCCATGTATTCCAACAGCCTTAGTTCACACCAGTGCAGTCAGTTCCAATCAGTTCCCGGTGTAGAAAAAAAAAAAAAAATAGAACATGCTGCATTTTTTTCTGCACAGAAATGTACTGGAACACAGCAAACAAACATCAAAAACAGGTGTGAAATGTAAGCAAAATGGCATTCAGAATGTGTCCGAAGTGTGTTTGTGTGGTGTGAACTGGCCATTTATGTGGATCCTGGTAAAAGTCATGCAAACTTTCACACATGTAAGCCTATGCCAGCTCTCAGGAAAAAATAGAATGCAAGAGTATCAAATGCAGTGGTATGTGAAACAGTTATAGTGAGTCTTGTATTCCAAGCCTCATGGCTGATGGTACCAACAAATTTTGATATCAGTTTAACATCATAGAAAGTAAAAAGGCAGCATGAAAGCACAACTTTATCAAGCTGGATCTGGTCAGAACAGAGCATGTTCTCAAAACACTGGTACTGTGTGAACAGCCAACAAAGCAATTAGTACTTGGGTTACTACTGTACTTGTATATTCTGCCAGCAATAGGGTCACATTAGCTGCATGGGGAAGGAAAAATAAGAAGGAAGGCATGCTGTAATACCAGTTAGTACCACAAAGTGTATTTGCTTTGAAAGTATCAATCACCTCTAATGTCAGGTTTCTTATGTGTGTGGATGCTACTGCAAAATGTAAAACTAGTAGTTTCTAGTTTTTTACATTTTAGAAGGGGGTGCCTGAGATTGTTCATAATTTCGAAGGGTGCCTTGGTTGGAAAAAGGTTGAAAAACACTGAAGTAAAAAAAGAACAGAGGAATCGATTCATAGACTATCGTTTACCTATTGTAACCCTTAGTGATATATCGGCCATCGAAATCTATCATCTGAAAATAAGCTTATCAGCGGTTTGCCGATAGGAAAAAAAAAAGGGCTGATAATGTAAACTTCAATGCAAAATCACGTTTCCACTGACTTCAATGCAAAATTGCGTTCCACTGACTTCAATGCAAAAACGCCCCCTATTGGCTCCAATGCAAAAAAAAAACCCATATTGGCTTCAATGCAAAATCGCCCCCCATTGGCTCCAGTGCAAAATTGCCCCCATCGGCTCCAGTGCAAAATTGTCCCCCATTGGCTCCAGTGCAAAATCGCATCCCATTGGCTCCAGTGCAAAATCGCATCCCATTGGCTCCAGTGTAAAATCACCCCCCATTGGCTTCAGTGCAAAATCGCCCCCCATTGGCTCCAATGCAAAATCGCCCCCCTCCCCCCACTGGCAAAATCGCCCCCATTGGCTCCAATGCAAATTTGCCCCCATTGGCTCCAATGCAAAATCTCATCTCATTTGCTCCAATGCAAAATCGCGTCCCATTTGCTACAAAGCAAAATCACGTCCCATTTGCTCCAAAGCAAAATCGCGTCCCATTGACTCCAATGCAAAAATGCCTTAAAGGCCATCCAAGCCTTACATCACCAAGTGCAATGCAAAGCGTCAGGTGCAGTGGTGTAAAGCAAGCTGCCACTGGACTCTAGAGCAGCGGAGACATGTTCTCTGGAGTCATGAATCACACTTCTCTGTCTGGCAATCCAATTGACGTGTCTGGGTTTGGCGGTGGCCAGGAGAACTGTACTTGCCTGACTGCATTGTGCCAAGTGTAAAGTTTGGTGGAGGGGGGCTTATGCTGTGGGGTTGTTTTTCAGGGGTTGGGCTTGGCCCCTTAGTTCCAGTGAAGGGAACTTTTAAGGTGTCTGCATAAGACATTTTGGACAATTTCAGGCTTCAAACTTTGTGGCAAAAGTTTGGGGCTGGCCCCTTCCTGATCCAACATGACTGCGCATCAGTGCACAAAGCAAGGTCCATAAAGACATGGATGAGCGTGTTTGGGGTGGAGGAACTTGACTAGCCTGCAGAGTCCTGACCGATAGAACACCTTTGGGATGAATTAGAGTGAGCCAAGCCTTCTCATCCTACATCAGTGCCTGACCTCACAAATGCGCTTCTGGAAGAGACACGTTTCTAAACCTTGTGGACATCCTTCCCAGAAGAGTTGAAGCTGTTATAGCTGCAAAGGATGGGCCAACTCAGTATTGAACCCTACAGACTAAGCCTGGGATGCCATTAAAGTTCATGTGCGTGTTAAGGAAGGCGTTCCAATACTTTTGAAGGTGAAATTTCATGTCAATAGCAGCTTTATAAATATATTTACTGAGAAAAATGGTGACGTGTTCAGTACTTTCAACCCACTGTATACAAAGCCTAAGGTTAGTATGGAAGACACTAGCAAAAAACTGGCGCTTCATGGAGTGCGCAGTTATATAGTGGCTATATGGAATGTAACCAGCAAAGCTTTTTGCCACTATCCTGTCACCTGAAGGTAGCAGCATACAACTCATAGTTTATGAATTGATTCTTGTGTCTTGTACTGAATGATAAAGATAGTTCTATTTTCTTTCAATTTCATAGAGGGACAATGGAAGTCTTATCCCTCTGGGATGTCCAAAAGCAGTCCAACTCAAATAATTGCTAATAAGCCCAATGTTGAAACAGCCACACCAATAAAGTCAGTGACCAAGCAGAAGGATGGCAAATTGGTTCTAGGGGCAAAAAATCCAAACTGTCAAGCAAAGTTCAATGCACCTATGAGAAGTCTTATGAGGTGGGAGAACCACATATCCCTGAATCTATCAGGAGCAATGATCTGCACCAAAATATTTTTATCACGATCCTGCAGAGCAGATGGGTGAAGATATTTCAGGGGAGGAAAAGCATAGATCAGTTTGTACTGACCCACAGAACCACTAGAACATTCACCGCCTCCACCAAGGGATTTCTGGACCTGGAGACCTTTCTGAACAGATCAGAACGGAATGGTCCTCCAACAGGTCAGTCCAATACTAAAGGGATAGCGATATTGCCCGAAGCTCCAAAATGTGGATCAGGGATACTGATTCAGACAACCCAGGAATTGCAAAAAAAAAAAAAAAAGAAAAGAAGGGAAAAAAAAAACACAGAAAGTGCTGATGAGCTGGAAAAATAGGCATATGTAACTTGACATTTTATGTTCACTGAAGCCAAGAAGTCCCCCTGGAAAAGGGGAGCAGAAACATCTGGTTAGTTCCATCCTGAATTTGTAAAGAATCCATGCCTTGAGGCTAAAAATGTGGTAGATAAAGTATAGGTTAAATTTTGTTGCATCTTCTGAATTCTAGTGAGCCGTTACTATAAAAAAAACTATTTCCTTCCCTCAGAACTGAATTCCATTTCCTACAAAACCAAAGAAAATACCTGTAGGATGGGCTAAAGATCCTCCACCCCGCCTTCTTTATGTGACTGAAGTTGGTTCCATGCAGCCTGCGCACTTCCAAGAGTTTAGCAATGCTTCAGCTACTCTTTCCCTCCTCCCCCCTCCCAGTTCTGTTCTTCTTTGTGAAAGATTGAGCAGTGAGACAGAAAAGCAACAGAAGAATTTCAGCTGCGCCGATACATCTTAGAAGTGCTTTACCTTTGCGAAGGGAAAACACTGAAGAATATTTACTGCTTGTGTACTATTGTACAGTAAAGTTTTCTTGCACCGTAACTAACAAAGCTTACCATACTGTCCCGAATCCATTTCCTGTTGACAGCGTGATGTCACATTGCCATGGAAAGGGAGGCACATCATAAGCATGAACTTCCAGCTTGTGATTTGGATTTGAGTATATTAGGAAACAGCACACACCAAATAACAGAGGAAAGAAAGAAAAGGCTTGCTATGGTGAGGGTAGTTTAGTACTATTTATTTGTGCTATTCCACACTTCCCCTTAATGCCAGAGACATCTATTCCACGCCTTCAATGACCTGAGGGTCAATCGTATCAGCAGTAACATTCCTTTTAAGGGATTTGGTCCTCGAAAGACCTCCTGCTCTCTAGCTCCCTTGTCTCCTCCTCCCATGCTCGTCTCCAGGACTTTTCCAGAGCTTCCCCTATCCTCTGGAACTCTCTACCCTAATTTATCAGACTATTGCCTACTCTGCTCACTTTTAGGCGATCTCTGAAAACCTATCTTTTCAAGGAAGCTTATCCTACCCTCAGCTAATAATGGAATCTTCTACTCTTCCAACCAGTCCATCCCCCACAGTTACTACCTTTTGTACCACTAGCCCCTCCCTCCTAGATTGTAAGCTCCAAGGAGCAGGGCCCTCCTTTCCCTCTTGTATTGAACTGTATTGTTGCTGTATTGTCTCCCATTTATATTGTAAAGCGCTAGGCAAACTGCTGGCGCTATATAAATCCTGTATAATAATAATAATTTGGACCAATCAAACATGCTTTGGCAAAGCAAGATTACTGCCAAGATTGGGTGTTAGGCAAAGAGAACATAGTTCTAGAAAGGGCCTACAACTAATTATCAGCCAAGTCCCTTAACACAGGATTGTCCTCTAAAGGTATGGCAGTTGACTTGTTAAATTGAGATATGGCCAGATCCTTCGTCGGAACTGACAATTTTGAAGAAAACTCTTGCTAATAAGGTAGAGACTACAAGCACTTAGGGGAAGAAA